GAGTGCTCTTTGTGCATGCTGGGCGAGTGCTCTTTGTGCATGCTTGGCAACTGCTCTATCCCTGAGCCAGAACCCCAGCTTTTGGACAGTATTCTGCAATCTGTATACGGGGTAAAATTGGGAGTTCATAACCCAGTATTTGCCACATTGCATCTCGTGTACAACCTCAGGACGAGCAATCGCTCTCCAAAACCCCTTCCGAGGAACGTTCTGCAATTCCTTGACATCATAACCTGCAGGGGTGACCAGACGCAGCCCCCAGGGGTTGGGGAGAAGCAGCCCATAATATTCATCCACAATGGGAGACGACCCCCAGTCTGCACCTTCTTGGGACTTACCCATTGGTAGGTGGAGTGAGCTAGTTATTCTGGACCATGGGGGAAAGAGGATGCGTAAGGAATACCTGCCTGCTTACCAGACCCTTGCTCTCACGCTCATCCTCCTTTAAGGCTACCCGGACCTCCACACTTCAACCTGGAAACTGAGCCCAGGTCCTGACACTCTGGATCCTCTTTCCCTGGCTTGACTCTGTCCCCACCGGGAACTCATCACCTTTTATTAGGATTATTATTATTTGTTCTAATTAGTTCTCCAGAATTAATCAGAGTAGAAGGCACTTTGACACATGATCCATGAATAACTTCTCCTTCTTCTGGTTGTGCATGATGGAGGATCCCAGGGGTCCTGTGGTCATATATGCACACAGGACAATAATGCCCAGTTCATTCTATTACCCTTCCTACCCCCTACCCCTCCCCTCCCTTCACTCCCCTCTGCCTAAGCCAAAGGAACTCTATTCTTCCCCGTTGTGAATAAGCATCTGCATATCCGAGAAAACATTTGCCCTTTGTTTTTGAGGGGGATTGGCTTATTTCACTTAGCACCATAGTCTACAGCTCCATTCACTTACCGACAAATGCCATCATTTCATTCCTTTTTTACGCCTGAGTAATATTTCATCATGTATATATACCACATTTTCTTTATCTGTTGAAGGGCACCTAGGTTGGTTCCATAGTTTAGCTATGATGTATTGAGCTGCTATAAACATGGTTGTGGCTGTGTCACTATAATATGCTGATTTTAAGTCCTTTGGGTATAAACTGAGAAGTAGGAGAGCTGGGGCAAATGGTGATTCCATTCCCAGTTTCCTGAGGAATCTCCATCCTGCCTTCCATAACGGTTGCACCAATTTGCAGACCCACTGGCAATGTATGAGCGGACCTTCTCCCCATATCCTCACTAAAATTTATAATTTTGTAATTCTAATTCTAATTATAAAATTATAAGTTATAATTGCCATTAAAATTATAATTATAATTGCCATTCTTATAATTATCAAGAATATAAGCAAAAAAAAAATTTGGTGAGACACACTAAATAGATAGAGTGAGATGAAATCTTACAGAAGTAGGATCTGACTTCCTTAACAAGACCCCTAAAGCGCAAGAAGTAAAATCAGGAGTCAATAAATGAAACGGATTCAAACTAAAAAGCTTCTTTTCAGCAAAGGAAACAATCAATAACAGGAAGAGAGAGCCTGCAGAGTGGGAGAAAATCTTTACCGCCTGCACCTCGCATAGCACACTCACCTCCAGGATATATCAAGAGCTCAAAAAAACTCAACACCAAAAAAAAAAAAAAAAAAACACAAATAATCCAATCAATACACGAACTAAGGAACCTAACAGACACTTCACTGAAGAAGAAATACAATCCATCAACAAATATATGAACAAATGTTCAACATCTCTAACAATCAGAGAAATGCAGATCAAAACGCGTCACCTTTGACAGTCTAAAGAACATGAAAGAAAAGGGTTGTTTTGTGAAAGAAAATAATGATTTTAAATAATCTGGAACACTTACAGTGAGCTGTCTCCCCAGAAGGAGATCTCTGTGGGAACAGATATCTTTGCCCATCTGCTGTGTTCCTGGTACGGACCTGGGTCTCTGTATCTGGTGCTAATCCTGCAAGCTATGCCGCGAGGCTCTCCTAGGAGCCAGCCTGGGATGAGCAGATGTTTCTAAGTGGCTGCAATTGTGCACTTAGAGCATCCAGGCTATGATACTTAGGGCCTCGCCACCCCCTAAGTATACAGACCTGGGTGTATAGTATTCCACCTCCCACTAGGCTCTTCCCTCCATGGGTGGTTTCCTGAGTTTTCATTTTGCCTTACCTTGCTTTACCAGTCCCTGCTGGTTTGTGACATATTTTCATTGCCTTTCCTGATTATTTCTCCTGATTTCAATGGCAATAGTTTTTGCGTTTCCGGTAGCTCTTGAAAAACGCGATTCTATTTCTTCTATTTTTTAACACTTGTCTCCGAAGTTGGGTCAAAGAAAGCAAATGAAGGCGGCGGACGTCCTGATCTTGCCCCACCACGTCAGAAAGCCAAATAATGATTCATCTCCACGGGTTTGGAAGAACGGCTCTCGTTTTGTAGGTCCTCTTCATTATCCTGTGAGATCTGCAGCGTAAATCACCTGGCGCCGACAAGCCGTATAATCTGAAGTACAGTAACCTCGCAGCCCTATACAGCCAAGTGATTTACCACGAGCTTTTAATTATATGAAGAGGCGCACTGAATCTATCTCTGTGTCCTTATCATTCGGCTCAGTGCCTGGAATGTAACTGCTGCCTGATAAATGCTTATTTAATGACAAAAATGAACGAACTGGAAGAATTGAAAATCATGCATGCCTGGGGTGGAGGTGACACATCACCATGTGAGATGGCAGGAGAAGTCTGGCAGCCTGTGAGCACAGAGTGAACATAAACCCCCCCTCATTTGCAACACACAAAAAAAACCCTGGGGCAGACACGCAGTGGCTTAGGAGGAAAAGAAGGATCTCCCAACCTTAAATCTTGTTCTATAATTTGCATGCATCAGTGACACAGCCTGGGAAGTGGGTGTGTTAAAGGCCTGGCCCCCAGCCCATGGTGCTATTGGGGGATGTGGTTCCTTTAAGAGGTGGAGCCTAGGGGGAGGAAGTTAGGTTATTGGTATCTTGGCTTCTTCCAAGCTCTCCCGGCCATGACGTGCTGCCCTGCCACAGGTCCCAAGGCAATGGGCCACAAACCTCTCCAAGGTGATTCACGCCAACAGCACACAGTTGTTATCACCCTCACGGCTTCAGAATTTCCCTGTGGAGGTCTCATGCAGGAGCAGCAGCAGGGTCATGGCGGACCTACAATGGGTTTTTCCAAGGCTGCCATTCCTCCACCCAGCCTATCTCTGGTTTCCATCAGCTCAGGCCCTTGTGCCTCACTGGGAACCCACTCTGGCTGGTTGTCTGCTTCCTGGGCCCATCCATGGAGCCAAGGCAAGGCCTTCCCTCTGCCCACCAGCCTCCACACCGGGGGTGTGGGGGCTCCGCAGCAGGTTGGCTTGCCATGTTGCACGGCAACTCTCAAGTTCAAGTTCTAGGCTCACCCGCAGACCTGTGCACATCACACCCATCACACGCGCACCTCGTTTTCTGTTTACACGTCATAAAAGGTTCCAGATGTTTGGGGTACGCACTGCCACAGCGATGATGCGGGATTTGAAGACGGTGCCTGTTAAGCGGTTTCCGTTCAAGATTCGATTTTAACGTGATTCTTGTGCACCCACCCTTGGGAGTGGCCCTCCGCCACACTGAGCCTCTTTTCCGTTCGGATGTGGCCACAGGCGGCTTTAGCTATGCACACATTGCTGATTGTCGTGTGGCTGTATTTTTAAATGACCTGCACATTCTCCCCATGTTTCTCCAGGTCAAGATTCTCCTTTGGGCATCCCCTAAAACTCTTACACAGCACCCAGGAGGAATGCATGTGGTAGAACGGTTGGTTTTTATCAGATCCACATATGGCTGCAATTAGAAGATCACTCATTGTCCTCAGATGCATTAAAGGCAAAGACACCTCCCTTTTTTTATTATTTTATGCAGACCAGTGCTAGGCTGCCTTGAATCTTGCAGAGCACAGAGTACCAACTCCGCCTTGACCTCAAGACACTTGTGAAATTCTCTGAGCAGGAGCAGCGTGTAGGAAGGCACGGGAAGGCTGTCACGGAGGATTTTAATTGTGCCACGGAAGCCCCTGCTCTTCCCATACAGCTTTACCCTCAAGAAACAGAACCCCTCCCCGCTGGAGCCAACAGCCACTGCGTCGTAATCTGCTCTCAATCACGCCTCTCGCTCCTTTTGAATTCCCCCAAAGAACTCAGATTCGTCTTTCATTAGCGTGTTTCTGTAGTTTTGCAAAGTATGACCCGGCTGGGACACACCGAGAATGAGAAGCAGATTTCTTCGTTAGAGCCTGAATGGGCTCCCGTCACCAAACATATCCGTCTTGGGCCGGGAGATGAGTGACCGTCTCTGAGCCCTTTGTGGTCCCACGAAAAGGGAGATCCCATGCACAGGGTCGGGTGTGGGTGCTTCCTTTGAGTCACGGGGTCATCAGTGTATGTTTATGTCAAAAAAGGACAGCTGACCCAATGCCACACACCGGCGATCCCAGCCGCTTGGGAGGCTGAGGCAGGAGGATCCCAAGTTCAAAGCCAGCCTCCGCAACTTAGTGAGACACGGAGCAACTCAGTGAGGCCCTGACTCTAAATAAAATACAAAACAGAGCGGAGGATGTGGCCCAGTGGTCGAATGCCCCTGAGTTCAATCCCCAGTACCCTGCCAAAAATAATTAGTTCCAATTTGTATGGTGGAAAAAATAGCATGAATATCTGATTTTT